TTTGTCATTCAACATTTTGGCTGATTTTCGGCATTAAACTTCTTTATAATGAAGCGCTGACCTAGTTCTCCGAAAATTCAGCAACAGCGCTACCCTGCCCTGGCGAGCTACTTCTTACTGCCTTAGATCATCTCTCTGAAACGGTTATCTTTGCAAACGCAAAAAATAAACCGTCTCAACTAGACGGACGTTGCAATGAACCAAAGTTTATCAAAAAAGCAACGTGGGCGAGTTGCATCTTTTTATGCCATGTCCTTGGACTGCCGTGTTGCGATTCCAAGGTATATTGATCTGATGCTTGGTTTTGCATCCTTTAGAACTATCTCTATACCAGTTTGTCAGCGACACATTCATTTTCAAATGGGCGCAGTGTCCATTTGTATACCAATATTTCCTTTGAAGCTACATTTAAGAGCCTGGGCTTGTTTCCGTGAGTCTTAATGGACAGACATAGGCACTTATCTCTGGTTTTACGTGGCCTTGGAGGTTTCCCTAAGTATGATTTATGACTCAATAACGCTCTCGGTTGACAAATTAAATATCACTTTTCGATCGGTAAAATAGCAAAGGAAAATTTAAAACCACACATGTGTGTTATCAAACGTCGGAATCAAATACCATCATTCACTCCTTAAAATGTTGCAAATCGAGTTCTTTGGGCGGCGAGCAAGGTTATTAAAAACAATTGGATTTTTCATTATTATGTTTTCATAACTAATTAACAGTTCATTATGCTTTCTGATCTGCCAACTGACTTTATTTGATTCTATTCTTCCTTGAAATTTTGCCCCCGTTTTTGAGTTGGAAAGGAACTATTCTTAAAGCAAATTCCAGCGAGATATTTCACACGTATTTTTTGAATGTCTAAAGTTATTTTCGAATGCTTATAGTCAGCTCCGCTATGATTATTTTTTGTCTACTTTAACTTTGTTTTAGCATGGCCTCAATATATATTTTTTGCTTTTAGTTTTATTTCGCAGATAACATAACTAAGAAAAGGTCGAATTTTTAAAAAAATATTATAATCTCAACGGATTATAAATAATCCACGACATAAATTAAACCGATGAAATTGCACACCTGTTGTTTTACTTAATCAATTCGCTATTTTAAGAATTTAAATATTTGGAGTAACCTGTCATAGAAACAACTGTCACTAAAGGTAATCTACTGACAAGCCCAACAAAGCAACATTATGCCACCTCAGAAAATCCTTGATCTTTTTGGACGGACGTGACAAGTTAGTCGGACACATATACGGTAGTGCAAATTTACCAATGATCTAGGTTTCTAATATCCCATTTTTTGACAGCTGAGATGTCCTGCCTTCTCTACATATACGGGATTCTATTTCTGTCCACGCCTTAAGCATGCAATGTAGCTGATTTTGGGTA